AGTGCAACAAGGAACTGACTCTAGGGATTTAAAATTGGCCAATTAAAATCTTGTTGTGAATCACCTAAACACAGTAGAACAAAATAAACTACAGTGAGCAAATTAAAACTCAGTAAAAAAATAAAAACACAGCAAAATAAATTAAATCACAGTAAAACAGATTAAAACATAGAAAAATTAAATTATACAAAATAAAAATAATTAAACATTAAACTCAGTAAAACGCATGAAGACACAGAAAACCAAATTGAAACACGGTATAAAAAATTAAATTATTCAAACAAATTAAAACAGAGAAAAAATATTATAGCACTTTAAAACAAATTAATACACTATAAAATAAATGAAAACACATCGTAACAAATTATAACACCACAAAAAATAATATTAATACACAATAAAACAAATTAATACTTTTACAAACAGATTTAGACATATCAAAACAAATTAAGACACCGTGAAGGAAATTAAAACCGTAAATAAAATAAATCACTGTAAAACAGATTAAAACAAATTAAAACAAATAAAAACAAAGCAAAGCAACTTAAAACATTAAAGCACATTAAAACACATCAAAACACAGTAGAACAAATCAAAACAAAGTAAAACAAAATATAACAAAGCAAAACATATTAAAACACATTAAATCAAATTAAAACATTTAAAAAATACACTCAGCCAAATAATTTAAAACATTTAAACAAATAAAACATTATTGGACATATTAAAACACCGTTAAACAAATTAAAACACATCAAAACACAGTAAAATAAGGAAGATAACTCTAGAGATATAAGAATAACTCGCTATGTTAATCTATTTGTAAATTTCATTTGGAAAAAACAATCAATTTAGGATAATGGAACACAGCGTCACAGGGAGGAAGAAAGAGCGCCACACAGACACAGCTTTTATGACTAGGCGGCCACAGCAATGAGGCCACAGCAAAGTGGCCGCAACAAGGGGGCCACATCACGGTGGCCACATTAAGGCGGCCACAACAAGGGGGCCATAGCATGGGAGCCATAACAAGGTAGCCACACAAAGGGGGCCACAACAAGGGGGTTACAGGAAGGGGGCCAAAGCAAGAGAGGCACAACAAGGGGGCCACAGCAAGGCGGCAACAACAAAGCGACCACAGTAAGGTGGCCACAATAAGGCGGCCACATCAAGGGGGCCACAATAATAAGCCCAAAGCAAAGGGGTCACATCAAGGAGGCCACAACAAGGAGGCTACAGGAAGAGGGCCAAAGCAAAAGAGCCACAGCAGTTGGGTCCACAATATTGAGTCCACGGCAAGTGGGCATAAAGGGGCCAGAGCAAGGCGGCCTTAACAAGGCAGCCAAAACAAGGCAGCTAAAGCAAGGCGGCCACGACGAGAAAGCCACAGCAAGGGGCCACAGTAAGAGAACCATAACACAGTGGCCACATCAAGGCTGCCACGACAAGAAAGCCATGGCAAGGCGACCACAACAAAGCGGCCGCAGCAAGGTGTCCATAACACGAGGTCCACAACAAAGGGGCAACTTAAAGGCAGCCACAGCAAAGGGGCCACAACATGGCGGCCACAGCAACGGGGTCACAAATAGGCAGCCACAGCAAGGGGGCCACATAAAGGCGGCCACAAGAAGGGGGTCATAACAAGGGGTCCATAACAAGGCGGCCACAACAAGGCAACCACAGCAAGGGGGCCAAACAGGGGTCATAGTAAGGCCAAGCAACAAAGGAGTCATAGCAAGGGCACACGGGGTCAAGGCAAGGGGGCCATAATAAGGAGGCCATATGAGGGGAGATAGAACAGAGGCCACAACAAGGAGGCACACAACAAGGCACACAAGGGGACCACAACAAGAGGCCACAGCAAGAAGGTTACAACAAGGAGGCACACACCACAAAGCAAACTACGAAGCCATGCAAGGGTTAAAACCAGGAGGCCACAGCAAGAGGGCTAAAATTAGGGAGGCCACAGCAAGAGGGGCCAAACTAGGGAGACCACAGCAATAGGGGCCAAAACTAGGAGGCCAACAGCAAGAGGGAAGCAAACTAGGGAGGCCATGGCAAGGCTAAAACTAGAGACCACAGCAAGAGGGCCAAAACTAGGAGGCCACAGCAGCAAAGCAAACTAGGAGACCACAGCAAGAGGGCTAAAAACTAGGAGGCCACAGCAAGAGGGCCAAAACTAGGAGACCAGCACAGGGCCAAAACTAGGAGACCACAGCAAGAGGACCAAAACTAGGAGGCCACAGCAAGGGGCTAAAACTAGAGACTGGCTACAAGAGTTGTCCAGGAGGCCACAGCAATGGGGCTACAATAAGGAGTCGATAGCAGGTTCCACAAGATGGCCACACAACAAGGGGGGCTACATACAAAAGTGAAGGACAACACAGCCAAGCAGCAAGGATGTGCCATAACAACAGGGCCACACAGCAGCAATAGAACATGGGGCCACAGCAAGGCTGCCACAACAAGGGGGCCATAGCAAGGGGGCCACAAGAAAGGAGCCACAACACGGGGGCCACACAAAGGGCGCCATAGCATGGGGCCACAGCAAGGGGACCATACCAAAGTGGGCCACAACAAGGCGGCCACAGCAAGGGTGCCATAGCAAGAGGGTCTCAGCAAGGGGGCCACAACAAGGTCGCCTCAGCAAGGGTGGCACAACCAAGGGCCACAGCAAAGGGGTCACAACAAGGCGGCCACAGCAGGGCTGCTACACCAAGGCGGCTGCAACAAGTCGACCACAGGAAGAGGGCCACAGTAAGGCGACCACAACAAGAGGGCCACAGCAAGGAGGCCACAACAAGGGGACCAAAACAAGGCGGCCACAACATGGTGGCCAGAGCAAGGGGGCTTCAACAAGGCGGCAGGATCTAGTGGGACACAACAAGGCGGCCACAGCAAAAAGCCACAATAAGGCTGGTAGAGCAAGGGGCCACAAGAAGATGGCCACAACAAGGTAGCCACAACAAGGCGGCCACAGCAAGGAGGCCACAGCACTGGGGCCATAACAAGGTAGCCACAACAAGAGGCGGCAACAGTAAGGAGGGAGCCACAATAAGGCGAATGCAGCAAGGCGGCCACAATAAGGGGGCCACAGCAAAGGGGCTAAGCAATGCGACAACAGCAAGGCGGCTACAACAAGGCGGCCACAGGCAGGGGGGCCACAGTAAGGCAGCCACAACAAAGGGGCCACTGCAAGGAGGCCACAACAAGGTGGGCACAGCAAGGAGGTCGTACCATGGCGACAATAGCAAGGGAGTCACAACAAGGCGGCCACAACACGGGGGCCACAATAAGGTGGCCACAGCACGGCACGACAACACCCAAGGGAAGGACGCTAGTAAAAGAGGTCGTAAACCGGAAGTGTTATAAAAACAAGCTTGAATTGCAGAGTAGTGTATGCAAACTGCATTTTTTGATGAGCAAGATTTGCATTCGATTCGCAGTGGAGCTCTTGTATGACCCGGAGCAGTGGAGGACCTCCCTCAAGGTTCATATTACTGAGACCTTCCACACTGTGTCGGACCTTACTGTCGTCTGACACACGTGCTGGTTCTGTGTCATGATACACCGAGTTACACCCTGTCCCAGAGTACGACAAAATTTAATTGTGTTGAAAATATACTTATGTAAATTTGCAGAGAGAAAAAAGTAAGTGTGTCGAATAGCGTGTAACAATATCATCTATATAGATATAAGAAAATAAAACACATCAACCTCAGCCCAAAAATATATATATATTGAAAGAGAAACCACATACACATAAAACACTTCCTCACGACGAGCTGGGGATATTGTAACTAATTCCTCAGACTAATAAGAGTCGTGGTTGCGGCCCCTAAATTGGATTATATATATTAAGCTTGACAATTATCTTCATTTAGAGATTATTGTTAATTTTGTTATAGTTAATATGTTCAGGTGGGTTGAGAACTTACCTGGCATGATTGGAGTCTTGAGTCTACTGAAGTTTGAAGTTTGTGTTTTTTTTGTCATTTGGTTGTTTTGTTTTATTAATGGTACGAGTTGGGATATTAGATGTGTGTGTGTGTGTGTGTCTACGTGTATATATTTCTGATTGTGTGTGTACTCGTATATCCGTACAAACTAGGTAGTAGGTAGTAGACAGCTATCAAACAGGTAGGTACTACCGCCTGGGAAGATATTGGAAGCATAATGTGCTGTCTAATGGTAGACCCTGCTACCGGATGGCATCACGAAAATTGTGACCAAGTCCCAGGTTGCTCATCTGACTATGTGCCTCATTTACACACAATTGCAGGGTTTCAATTGTTTCTCTTACTTTGACAACACAATATATACTGTAGATATATCGTTTCTCACTATTGCTAATTATTATTATTATTATTTTTTATGGCTCTTTATTATTATTATTATTATTATTATTATTATTATTATTATTATTATTATTATTATTATTATTATTATTATTATTATTATTATTATTATTATTATTATTATTATTATTATTATTATTATTATTATTATTATTATTATTATTATTATTATTATTATTATTATTATTATTATTATAAGCAGTAGTACAGGTAGTACTAGTAGTAGTAGTATATTTTCGCCCCCAGGCCCTGATGTTGGGCTAATCCAGTATAAAAAAAAAAATGGTCGTGTATACCTTTTCCTCCTCTGGACCTAAAACGCTCCCATTATGCAACACTAACAGAGTGTATACATTAACTACCCCGTGTTTCACAACCCCTGATAAAAACGACACTGATAACGAAACGATACAACGAAATTACCACAACGAGAATCTGAATATCCTGCCCAATTAGGTTAATGACTTTCATACCTGCAATCAACAAAGCCGCACAACAGACAGTAATCTCCATTATTGTGTGATACGAGACTATCATGTAAGCCGCAACACCGAGCTCGCACTGGTAAAGTAATCCTCTGTGATCCACGTGTAATAACCACCACCAAAATACATAAACAGTATGACTCTGGAGGCTGAGGGAGGTGTGTCGTTCGTGAGTACATGACGAGGTTGGCAAGTATAGTATATATATATATATATATATATATATATATATATATATATATATATATATATATATATATATATATATATATATATATATATATATATATATATATATATATATATATATATATAGAGAGAGAGAGAGAGAGAGAGAGAGAGAGAGAGAGAGAGAGACAGAGAGAGAGAGAGAGAGAGAGAGAGAGAGAGAGAGAGAGAGAGAGATCTTTGTCTGTCTGTCTTGTCTGTCTATCTCTGTCTCTACTTCTGTATATCTCTCACTCTCTCTGTCTATCTGCCTCTCGTTTTCTCTCAGTCCGTTTGTCTCTCTTATTTCTCATCCTTTCTTTCTCTCTTACATATATTATCTGTGGTTCAAGTAACTGCAATGGGGAGTCAGCCACATATAACCAAACAAACACGCAATAAACGAACACCATTATCTCCACCCTTCCCCTAGTTATACACAAACACACAAATACCTAACCTAACCTAACCAATAAACTTCTCAACAAACACACAAATACCACCACCACCACCACCACCACCACCACCACCACCACCACCACCGCCATCTTCACCACCACCTCCACTACCACCACTACCACCTTCACCACCATCACCAAAACCACCATCCGTACCCTCACCACCACCACCATCACCACCATCAGCACCACCACTACTACTACCATCATCAACACTACCACCATCACCACCATCACCACTAGCACCACACCACCACACCACCAATACCACCCCCCAACCCCCATCACCACCATCACCTTCGCCACCACCGCCGCCGCCGTCGTCACCACTATCACCACTGACGCCGCCACCACCACCACCGCCCTGCCACCGCCACCACCTGGACCATAAATAATACAAACAAACTCATCAACACTAACACCACAACAGCTGGTCTGGTTACCTTTCAGTGTGAATACATAGAGGAAGAAACTATTTTCTTCCTTTGTCGCAACTCCTGTTACGTGATCTTGGTTCTCTGATGGCGATCTTGACTCCCATAAGGCGGTTCTGACTCACATAAGGCGGATCTGTCTCCCATAAGGCGGATCTGACTCCCATAAACCGGTTTTGACTCCCATAAGGCAGTTCTGATTCCCATAAGGTGGCTCTGACTCCCATAAGGCGGCTCTGATTCCCATAAGACTTCTCTGACTCCCCTAAGGCGGTTCTGACTCCCAAAAGGTAGCCCTCGTTCTCACAATACAGTCCTATTCCCCCAATGCTCTCCTGAACCTGACGCACGGCCCCGACTCTTATAATACTTGAATGGTTTCGACTTACACAACACAGAACCGACTCACATAGCTCGGCCCGACTTTTACAACAGTCTTGACTTAAACAACAATGTCCTAATTCACACAACAGGTCCTAACTCACACATCATGGTCCTGACTCACACAATACAGTCCTAACACATAAAACTCGGTTCTAACTCACACAATCCGGCTACACAATCCTGTCTGGATTGACACTAACTCCGTGAACCTCGTCTTGTGAGGTGAATTTTTATATACTGTAAGCATGTGGCCAGAGGGGTGACCCTAAATGGATAAGGTGTCACACCGTTTATCATGTACTAGGTAGGACTCATACCAAATTTCATGACACGACACTAGGCACTGTGTCATACCACTAGAACAGGTAGCCACACTGTGTCATAACTATAGTCCATGTAGCCACACTGTACCATCAACCTGGAATAGGCAGCCACATTGTGTTTGCAGCCAGACTGTCTCACAACACTAGGCCAGACAACCAGACTGTGTCATAATACTGGACCAAAGTGTCACAACTAACAAGTGTGTCATACAAGATGAAGTTCTTACCCTCCTGGTGTCTGTAACATGACCCTTCAGGCAGGTCCTCCTCGGCCTTCTGATGGCCTCTGTGTGCAGTTAGCTGTGATTCAAATGCAAATCTTGCACAACTAAAAATGCAGTTTGCATATCCTGTTAGCCCACTCAGCCGTGTTTTTGTAATATTTCCAGTTTATGGCGTCTTTTAGTAGCGTCTTCCCGGCCGCTTTGTTCTCTCGCGCTGCTGCTGCCTCCCGGGGACACCACACTTACTTACTCTAACACAGACATCATTCACATTTTGAAATATACTGTAAATAAGTTGAATATGTTTGTATGTATAAGTAAGTTTGTTAAGTTTGCGTGCATAAATTTATTTAGTTTATAAGTATAATTAAGTTTATTGAATTTGTTTGTATAAAAAAGTTGCATAAATTTATAAGTATTAGTAAGTTTAATAACTCTGTAAGTATAAGTTGCAGTCTAGCACAGGAACCAAGACTTAGCGAAAGGTCCATAAAATCCCTGAGCTAAGGAAACATATAAACGCATTGCAATAACAAGAAGAACAAGAAAATTAAAATTTCAAAGTCGTCCCCCAGCCAGAAATACCTTCAACACGCGCCAGGCGGAGTACACAAGTCTTAGCCCAGCAGTGCACGTCGAGGTTGTCAACAGTGTGCAGCTGGGAGCCATTCCACGCTATCGCCAGAAAAATAAACATGCTAGCAAGGCGGTGTATTTCCTCGACACATAATTAGAAAACAAGACATTGTACCACCCATCGTGTTCCTGTGGGACCTTAATGTTGGGGCTGAAGCTGGGACACACACACACACACACACACACACACACAGTGTACTCACCCATCCATTAGAGCAGTGGTTCTCAAACTTTTTTTCCACTTTTACCCCTATTTAAAGTCTGGCAGGTTTGAATTACCCCAACGTAAAATTTTACTCCTTACTTTTTATTCAATAAACAAGCTTACAAAATTAATGTACAATACTTACAAATTTTACTCCTTAATTCTATTCAATAAAGTTAATATACAAAACACAAGCTTACAAATGTACTTACAAATCTTACTCCTCCAATAAAGTGAATTATACAA